TTTGGGGAAGTGAGCAAGACAGTCCCTGGTGGCGATGGCGGTGGTGGTGGTGCCCACACTGACCAATGGGTAGTCATGCATAGAAAAGTAGAGGACACAGCCGTGATGATGATGATGATGATGATGTTGTTGTTGTTGTTGTTGTTGGGGATAGCGGTGCTGGGGATGGATGTGCTTGGATGCCTGGGAATGTCCAACGGTAGGCAGTCAGTCAGAGGAGTTCTATATACGAGATTGGTGATCCAAGCGTTGTGTCCAGCGGCGTGATCTCAATCCACAGAGTGTAATCTCTCTCCGCCGATGCACCAGATTGTCCAGCGGCAGCAGCAGCAGCAGGTCAGGACTTGCTAAAAGAAAGAGAGGATGATGATTTGCCGCCGCCGCCGCCGCTGTTACCGTTAGGTGCTCCTGCTCCTTCTGCTTCAGCTTCGTAATTATCATTAGTGTCCTCGCCTCGATTTTGTCCTCTCTGGCCAAAAGTGAGGAGTAATTGCGCTCGCCCTCACTGTTATCTCTCTGTGTGACCAGAAGAAGAAGGGGAGACGAGGTGGTGGTGGCGGTGGCGATGGTGGGCTGCTGTCTTGGGCTGATGAACACACCGAGGCAAGGGAAGGGAAGGAAAAGGTAGTGATGAAGATTGCTGCTCCGAGGAGGAAGGTGGAGAGAGAAGAGCAGAGCAGAAGATTGCTCGGAGTGTGTTCACTGAGGCGTGATCCGCTGCTGCTACTGTCGGTGATGGCGCCCGAGAGAGAGAGAGAGCAGAGAGGCTGAGCTAAGATTGAGAGCACTTTTGTGGAGATGTGCCCTCTTCTTCTTCTGCTGCTGCTGCTCATCAAGAGTAGTCGAGGTGTAGTCGGTGGTGTCAGAGGTGAGGTGACAAGAGACCGACCGACCGACCAACTCTCCGCTGGTCAGCCACTCCGCTCGGCGATCTTTCCGACTCTTTTGATGGTGGTAAAGGCTGTTTTCTGTTTTCAGTCTTTTTTTCTGTTTACTCCTACTTCTTCTTTTTCTGCGTTGGCTATTTCATCATCGTCGCCTTCCTCTCGCCGAGGTGTCAGTGTCCAAATGGTCAGCAATGGAGATGGATGGATGGATGGTTGGCGGGGATATTTCTGTGTGTTTGTGTTGATGAAGTTTGAGTTTTTTCTTTTTGCTATNGAGGTGTCAGTGTCCAAATGGTCAGCAATGGAGATGGATGGCAGATTTTTGTGTGTTGATGGAGTTTTTTTTGCTACTTTTTTCGATTTTGCTTTTCACTTTACTTGTGACCACCGCTTTTGAGCTCTGATTGATTGATTGATCACTTCTTCCTCGAATTTACTTTGAATTTCTGCGGAGACATTTTTTATGAGTGTGTTTTGTTTTGTTTTGTTTTTTTGCTAACGCCTTATCAACTCATCAGCTGACCTTTTGTTTTCTTTTCTGCTCTTTTCAGTGCTCATTTCTCGCCCCGTCATTCTTCCTGACCACCACTCATCAACACTGCTGAAGATGTAACATTTCATCATCATCACCTTTGGACGCATTATTCTTCTTCTTTATCCATTCCACTGCTACTACTACTACCACTTATTAGAATTACTACGACTTCTTTATCAACGACAAACACACATTCTTCAACAACGACAATCACCACCGCAAGTTGGTGATCTTCCATCTCTCACCTCTTTATTTAAACAGTTGAAACCTCGTTGCAATCAGCTAAATCAAAAGCAGCCGTGTTTCTCTCTGCAAATGGCCGCCTCGACTGCAATCATGCACGCCGCCAGCACTGGAAGCAACAGCGGCGGTGCTCTCGGGTCTTCCTCAAACGTTCCCATTGCATCATCCACCACCACCACAAATGGCAATGATATGAGCTCTTCTGCCTCTTCAAACATCTCTTCAATAGCCAGTTCGGATGAGGAGGAAGTGGTGCTGAGGGTGGAGGAGGAGGAGGAGGAACCGAAGAAGCCAACTTCGCCAGCTGTTACCACAACACAGCTCTTACCTGAATCTAGTGATACTCATAGTGAAAAGGAGGAGGAGGAGGAGGAGGAGAACACCTCAGATGTTCCTTCAGAGGTAGTCGACGATGGTCCTCAGGAGGATCCTGGAAAGGAGGAAGTGGACACCAAAGACGATAACTCCTCGTCTTCAGCTGTCGCCGCCGCCGTGGTCATCGAATCCGCCTCTGCCTCGCCGAAAACTGCCGAGGCGAGCGAGGACAGCGCCAGCACCATCGTCGGCGACGATGAAGAGGAGGACGGTGAGGTGAACCAGGAAAAGGAGCCTGCTTCAAAGACCTCGCCATCACCATCCTCTGCAAAGGAGTCCGACGAGGAGGAGGAGGAGGAGGAGGTCGAGGTGGAAGTGGATGAGTCCACCACCACCACCAAAGTCCAGCAAAGTTCACCACCACCTTCAGCTGCTAGTCCACCTCAGTCGGCGCCGTTTGGAAGTTCAAAGACCACCAACTCCTCCTCCTCCTCCAATGGACCGNCGAGGAGGAGGAGGAGGAGGAGGTCGAGGTGGAAGTGGATGAGTCCACCACCACCACCAAAGTCCAGCAAAGTTCACCACCACCTTCAGCTGCTAGTCCACCTCAGTCGGCGCCGTTTGGAAGTTCAAAGACCACCAACTCCTCCTCCTCCTCCAATGGACCGAAGAAGGCGCTGGCCACCGGCAAGCTGGAGCGCATCACCGCCGCTCTGGCCGCCAAAAATCACCACCACCAACAGGTAAGACGAGATCTTTTTCTGATTTTTCGAAATCTAACTCTAACTTTCTAACTTCCATCTAGCCCAACGAATCATCACCTTCATCCTCGGCGCCGGCATTTCCCGGCGTCTCCTCCTCCTCCTCTTCGGCGCTCATGATGACGCAGTTCGGGCAGTCATCATCAAAACTACACCACTTACCTCCTGCTGAGTCTTCGGCGACGACCATCTCCGAGGAGGATGATGAGAGCGGGATGATCGAGGACGAAGACGATGATGACGACGATCTTGATGATGAGGAAGAGGAGGAAGAGGAGGAAGGCCTGATGATGGACGAAAACGGGCTGCTGATGATGAACGGAGACGAGGACGAGGACGACGAGGAGATCAAGAATGGCTTCCGAGCGCTCGGCCTGATGGGCAACGTCGCCTTCATGGGCGAGGAGAAGTTCAAGTGCCCCGTTTGCGGGCTGAAGCTCGACTCGCAGCACACCTTTACGCTGCACATTCGCTCGCACAATCCGAATGACCATTCGAACACCTGTCGCCTCTGCGGGAAGACGCTGAGCAGTGCGAGCAGTCTGGATCGACACATGCTAATTCACAGCGGCGAGCGGCCCTTCAAGTGTTCGATCTGCAATATGGCCTTCACCACCAATGGAAACATGCACCGACATATGAGGACGCACGGCCATGGGACGATCGGCTACACGCCCCGGGGAGCGAAGAGGCGGGCGAAGTTGTTTGCCCAGCAGGCGGCCAAGGTGGCGGCTGCAGCGGCGGCCGGAGAACCGGTCGACGCGGCCACCATCAGCAAGCTGAAGAAGTCGGCGCTGGAGGTGACCACCGGCAATGGGAAGAGCCCCATCAGCGGGACGCCGATGAAGAAGCAGCGAGGAGGAGGTGGTGGAGGAGGTGGGAGGAAATCGGGTGGAAACCATTCGGGACTTTCTGACTCATTTGGTGGTGGAAGTTCAGATGAGGGAATGATGGGCGGTGGCGGAAGTTCTGGAGGAGGAGCGCCTGCTTCGGCGGCGACGCTCGCCGAGGCGGAGCAGATTGCCGCGGCGGCTGCTGCCTATGCTGCTTCAGTGGCCGCTACGAACTCTTCACATTCAGGAGGAGGAGCTGGGGGTGATGGTCACCACCATCACTCGAAGAAGAAGCGAGAGGCTGGAGCTCACCACCGAACATCCTCCTCGTCGTCACCCTTTGCTTTTCACGGGAGTTCAGCTGCTGCTGCAGCTGCGGCTCACCTGCCCTCACCTCACCACCACCCGAATACTCTTTCCAGTCACCATCACCACCACCACCGACCACACCTTCCACCGACATCGTCTTCACCCTCTTCATCCTCTAATCACCTAGGCCACCCAGCTCTCAGCGGATGGCCCTCCACCGCCGATCTGGGACTGCTCAGTCAGGCGGCGGCCGCGGCGGTGGCCGCTTCAAACGGCGGAAATCCTCATCAGAACTTCAATAGCCTCAACCTCCACCAAAGCAACAACAACAACCACTCCTTCAACAGCAGTGCTCCGATCATTCTGCCGCAAAAGGGCAAGCCCGGGCGAAAGCGAAAGATTCGCCCTGAGGAGGCTCTGATGATGAACTCCAACAGCAACGGAAATGGACTTCAGGGAAGCTCGCCTCAAAACAGTGGCCCTAGCAGCTTCCCGGCAAACGCCTTCTCCAACCTGACCGGCCCCACGGCCTGTCCAATCTGCGCCGGCCGCCTCAACTCAAAGATGGACCTCCACCTGCACATGAGCACCTTCCACGGCGGGGAGAAGCTCTTCTGCCTGGACTGTGGCATGATCCTCGAGAGCTACTCCGTCTACACGCAGCACCACTGTACGGTGACGGCGGCGGCGGTGATGCAGGCGCTGGCCGCCAATCCGCAGGCCAACCCGGAGCTCCTCTTTCGCTCCACCAACACTAGTCGCATGAACTTTAGCAGTGCGAGATTTGGTGGTGCCGGAAATGGAGGTGGAGGTCAGGGATCGTCTGGAGCCGCCTCATCTCATCAAAGTCTTTCCGGATCCAATGGTCACAGTCAGCAGCAGCAGCAGCAGCAGGACCACCTCACCTCGATGCTCTCGCAGCTGACCAAGTCCTCCTTCTTCGGTCAGCAGAATCGATCTTCAACAAACTCGGCTTTGGCCTCCTCTTCAGCTCTGCCCATCGTCGATCTCAGCGCTAAATCATCGAAAACTTCCTCTTCTAACGGAAATGGAAGTCTTCTTCAGCAGACTCAGCCGCCGATATCCGCCTCGGCCCACCAGGCGGCCAGCCACTTTAGCGGTGGGCCCGCCTGCAACCAGTGCGGCCGCAAGTTTGCCAACACCAAACTACTGAAGACGCACTTTGATACCTTCTGCCACGAGTGCTCGGCCGATTGCGGCAACCAGGCCGGCCTGATGAGTCACCAGATTCAGCACAGCATTGAGAAGTTTCCCAATCTGAGCAAGGCTCTTGGAAATGGAGGAGTTTCTGGAAAAGGTTCCAGCAACTCTGAAGGCTTTAACATGGCCTCAGCGTTGCCGGGACTTCTCAGTATGCAGGCGGCGGCGGCCGCTGCCGCTGCAGCTGCTGCTTCGGGGACTTCTTCTAATCCGCTGGTGGCCAGCGCTTTAACTTCTGCCTCGAACTCCAATCGAAACGGAGGCAGTCCTAGCCCTTTTAATAAGCGACACTCCTATCCAAACCCTCCTGCTTCCACGAGCCTCGATTTGACCGTGTCGACTTCAG